AAACGGTTGTTGCCAAAGAAAAACTAATACCGATTGGATTACAACTGGAATACAAAAAAACATCACGAAAAGTGAATAATACGACGGATTTCGGAGCGTGTTTTCCACTCCTGTGATGGCGGTGAAGAAGGAGAAAACATATGTGTTCACAAATACGCGTTATCAAACTAGTTCACGTCAGGACACGCGGTAGTGTTACGAAATGCACCTCATTGTTAGTTCGTAACAGGATCGAGCAATAATAAAGTTTGATTTAATGTAAAAGTTGCAATGCATCTGGTGAAAATGTACACTGCTTATGTGCAGAATGTTAGTATGAAAAAAAGTTGATCTTATAAACGGATTGGGTGATCGAAGGCTCGCAATTTGCGACAATTATCGAATATAATATAAATAAATAAATATAATAATATTATAATAATTATAATATAATATAATAATATAATACATCCATGAAAGTTTTTTTTTCTAATTTAAAAAGATTATCAACGATTTATATAGTTTGCTTCCTTGCTACCACGACATTAATATTTCCCGTATATCTCGTGATCTGCTTCGGCCCGTCTCCAACAAATTTTGCGTAACATAATTTGGTGCACGTTTTACAACAAGACATCTCCGGATATTGCACGTAATGACTTCGTTTTCCCGGTGTTCTAACGTAAGACACAGCTATTTGTGTATATCTTTCATAGTACTAACATTGTCTGATTTACCGCAAACGGTTTCATTACACCCATCTCTCCATATTACCGCACTCGTATCGCTTACGCTTACGTTTTGTCGCATCAACTCGTAATCTCAATACCATTTCAAAATATTCCACCGTAAGCCCATGCAATGAAGTAAGATATAACACATTTTACCTCTGTTGATGACCGACCACGTAAATCAGCGATTCGTATCGAACACGGGATATTATACTGTATTGTGCATCGTTTGAAGTACTATATTTACTCTATGGGTGGTTTATGATTATTGAAGTTGAACGGTTCAAGTAGCGAACAGAAGTACGCTTTGTATAGACAGTATACTCGCGTTATCGAGCCTCCGGTTCAATGGTCGTATATCGTTTTACGGTTAATATATACATGTGTACACTTCTAATAATTCTTCGAGTGTATGCAACGGTGAAAAATTTTACGTTACTAATACATGTGTGTCATCTTTCAAGACTAGTGCAGTAAACGTTTCATTTTTCTGCCATTGGATTTCGGTTTATTGATTTTATATATATATATTTTAATTAATATATTCATATCGAAGTATTTTTTTATACAATTTATTACAACGATATTTTTATATAATGAACGTTGATTTCGTTTGTGGTTGTTAATATCTAATACGTAGAAACCAGTAAGTTTTCGTATTTGTATTATTATTCGTATTATTACTATTTTACCTACATACTCTGATGACCTGCTGGGCGCATTAATAAATGATTCTTCTCGTTCGCACAGGTTTGAACTTATTGCACAACTAAACGACCCAAAATCAAAACAATACCGTTTTCCGTCTATTCTGACCAGGGGTTTTGTTTGTAATTTATTTATAATAACACATTGTGTTTACTAAAGGTTGGGGTCCAGATCTACACAATGTTTTTCATAAAAATAAAAAGAGATAAAGATAATAATATACCTTTAAAATAATAACAAAAGAAAGGAAATGAACGCTTTTATGATGTATGTATTTGTATTGTTATAATATAAAAACGATTTTCTTAGTATTAATTATTTTTATAAATATTAATCACGATTTACATTAAATGTATAAAATACAACGTTGGGTTAATAGATAAATATAAAGAAATTAAATAATAATATTATAGTTGATAAAACCTCTTAATTATTTTAGTTTTTTATTTGAGTCAATAAAATGAAATATAACCATCTATAAAAAAAAATTGTATATTGTAATAATATCAGTACATAGATTGTGTACAAATATAGAAAGTAATTTTATTTTAAGACATTTTTTAATTTTTAATTAATTAATTATCTTATCTATCAGATCATTTCTGTACGGCTCGTCTAAAAACAGCTATTCAACATATTGTCCTATCAAAGTAAATATTCTATAAGGAAGTGACATCATTATTTCTCTCTACTTTATGTTCATCCATGAGACCTCAAAGTTATTTTATTTATTCTATACATTTTTGACACAAATTTCAATGACTCACTAATATTAGCGTAATACCATGATTTTTAAACTGCTAATTATATGATATAAAATCACTTAAATACGATTCATTTATTGGCAAAATGATGAAAAATAAAAATAAAGACACTATTCTTTTAACTTCTTTTAACTTTCATATTACTATATTCCGACTATGTACTTGTTTATTTAATAATAAAGTTCTGCCATTAGTAAATTAACTCAAGTACGTAAGGTTAACATTCGATAAATGTCTCACAATAGGGTCTACATCTAACAAAAAAATATTCAATCATTCAACTCTAGACTGTATTTTTGAGACTCCTATTAAAATCAAAACTATCCCTAACTAATTACAATTGACAAGTAAGTTAAGCTACTCGTACACGGTTAGCTCTGTATGACAATCAATGTGATTGGCAGTGAGTTTGACCATTTGATGACGACTGATAATGATTAATGAAGATAGACAATCTTCATTAATTCGGTTATTTTATAAGTCAACACTTTTGTCACTATTGAAAGTATGGTATATCGTGTAGTTTTTTGTATTTATTAGTATTGGTTTTACTATTTATTAAGGGTATGACTTTTTTTTTTTTTACTTATAAATTTGTAAAACTCTAAGTAGAATATTGAAAAATATGATAGATACAAATTTTATAAATCGAAAATTTAACTCATTCTCAATCAGTCAATTTTGAAGATAGAGCAAAATTATAAAGGTCAAAGTTGCTTGAAAAAAAAATCGTATTCTGAATACGGTTGAAAAATATATTTTTATCGGTGGGTGAGAGAGAAAGAAGTTAACTTTGATGTATTTAAACAATATTATATACATACAATACATAGGGACAGACTGAAACTTTTAGGCGTACACGTTAAATTAATCGAAAATTCTTATTTGTGTCATATTAATTTATCTGTTTACTTTTAGATTATATTTTTAGAATGATATGAACACATTCTTGTTTTAAATTATAGTTGATTTATTTTATGCGGTATACGGATGAAACTCTAATTTGACGATCGAAGAGACCGTTGAAATAGTGATGAAGTCTTAAGTTCGCAGGTTTGTCGGAACTATATTCAAAAACGTTCGTAAAATAATCAGGGCCACCGTAACATAACTACTCAAAACCGGCCTAGTGATCCAAATAAAGAAATGTCTCATATCAATCCACCCCCGCGTAAGCATACCCGCTACTGTTTGAAATTATTTATAATTTTTATTTTCTATGTCGATTGTATATCGCGCTGAGTCTCGTTATGTTAAGATGGACTGAGGTACAAGTTTTTGAGAAAAAGCACGGTCGCCGGGGAGCTGTTAAACGTGAATCAAATATTATGAGTGCCTTAGGTATAATACGAGTATGATTACAAAATATTATCGACTTAACGAGCATTTGTGGGCTTGATGTCTAGGCTTGCAACCGTATATTACGCATTAAATTATATTTTTAAAACTACGTCACATGCAAACTGTGGTTACGTGCGCGTATATTAAAACTCACTAAGTATGTATACATAATATGCAAAACGAGATAATTGCGGTGGTGGCAGCAGCGTAGTTGAGCTCGCGTGCAATATTCAACAGTTTAGACGATGCGACATGAACATCCGCACAGGGTATTACACCGAGAGGGATGGCGGTAATTAATCTCGTTCGTGGCGGCCTCCAGTGGATGGGCTTGAGTGAACTTCGTGGGGCATGTGTTATCGTGGTCTCTACCCAGTCCCTTACCCCTATCTTTCACGGATGAACATCGACGAGGTCGTCGAAGGATATAGAATAATATATAATATAATATATATATATGTCATATATGTCACATTAACTGCATCTACACATTGGACCGCAAACTTTGCCTATAACTTTATACCATCGTATATGAATACATTATAATTGTACACATAATATTATAGTTAAGAACTCGAACAATGATGCGCTCCGAAGTGCGAACACAAATTGTCAAATTGATCTGCACACTACGTATCATCATCATCATCGATTCCGACACTGAAAAGTGTAGCAACCGAGACAGTTTTTTGACGTTTTTTAACGAAACATTTTTTATAGGTTTACCGTGTTATAACGGCTAGACGTGTGTCGTCGCGACGGACAGCTCGATGATTTCACGAAATAACGATAATGTGTAATGACCGGCGTAACGGCATGAAAAAATCCGTGAAATCGATTTCGTTGAAGTCATCGTGACTCTGAAAAACGATAACCTTATTTGAAACATACACCTATTCGTTCCTCTACTTTCAAACCAAACATAAATTCCAAAATCTATACATTCTGCTTGTAATTGAAATTTCAACCATTCGAAATACAGTTTAGTATAACGAATTGGAATCATTCCGTTTCAACGACATAAGAAGAACTCGAATAAACAACGCACAGGTGTCGGTGAGCAACGTGAGTAAGTCTTATTTTTTACCGTTAATTCGTCTCTCCATTATTATTAATACTAGGCGCATGCAACATTTACAAAAACACTGGTGATGCGTAAAGATTTGAATTCAAACTGCAGGAATATGAGGCGAAATCGATTTACATGCGTCTTCGATTTAACTGCTGTTGATCAAATAAAGTTATTGAAAAGAGCATACGAGTATACACTGATCACATGTTGAAATTATATCATGTTCAATTCGCCTAAATTTATCGATTTTTCTATTCGTTAAATTATATTCAGATAAAATAGAAGAAACTCCCCTACACTTCCCGACTACCTAACTCAACATACTATCATCTATGAACGTCCTTTACTACTCATCGTACGTCACATCAGCAATCATCGTCGTATTGTAATAATTATTATATTTACCAATAATCGACGATGATCTGTAGTCGGCGTAGTCATGATAGTCAGATTTTTCGTTCAGGAACCCAGGTATGGTTGATAGGCATGTCAGATGGACCTCGGCACCGAGTCGGTCCGAGACGGGTAACGTGAGTCGCATCGCGGTCGCCGAGTCCGACGCTGCTTTCAAAATCGGTTTCATGTACGTGTCCGGGGGCTGAAAAATATCAGTAAATATTGTGTTATTATTATCATTTTTACTAACAAGAATAAATTACGTAAAAAATAACATGCCACATTACAGACGGGCCAATTTTTAACGGCATACTGTAGCCGTCGCTTTCGTTGCGTTTTTTTTTTTATAAAAATACATGCTAATGATGTAATTATATGTACATAAAGGTTGAAAAAGAAATACAAAGTATACAAGAACTTATTATTTTTACACTATGACGAAAAAAAAAAATAAATAAACCATTAAATATTATATATTTTTATAAAATTACTTAAGCTACTTGAAACTCACAATTAATTAATTCCCTACAAGAGTTATTGTACAACACAGAATTATATTTTTCGATCGTTTTTGTGATGTCAAAAATATAATTATTATGTAATATATTTTTTCATAAGATCATATAAATACGTATGCTATTATGGTTTGAAAAATCTATTAAAGCGGATACTTGTACAGTATTTACATTTGTACGTAATAAAAATAATATTATGCACATAAAAAGAAGGTAAAAAAAAAAGAAGAAAAAAGGCGATTAAAAACAAATGTATTCTAAATTATTCATATGAAATAGTTCTTCCACATTTTAAAACACGAATGTCTTGTTATATGTATATTATATCTTGGATGGACGGTTAACACAATAATTCTCATACACTTCAATTATTTTGTTACAACCGATTTTATGATTACGACGTGTTTATGATTAGTAAATTTAATACAATTGCATCTTTTTCATATTTTAATGATACGTTTCTTTTAAAACTGGTTTTTTTTATCAACATATATATATTATACTTTAAAAACGATAAAATGAGTTATTTCAGCAGTAATTTTTTTTTTTTTGCGATTTTTTCGTTTTAAAATTTGGATTTTGAAATCGAAATGAGTTTGCTAAATTAAGAGTTTTATAGGCTATAAACTTTCAAGTAACGATTTCGTAAGTTTACAAGAATTCACAATTAATTTTTGTTCAGTACCAAATTTTAGACTAAAAATAATAATACTCCATAGAACATTTTTAAAAGTATAAAATATTTTTTATTTAAAATCAATTTAAAACAGAACAACTTACCAGACACCATTATTTAAATGTGATTCTGAAATAAGTATTGAGAAAATTATATTTTCCTGTAATGAACCATTTCACATTTATTGAAAAAAATAATTAATAGAATAATTTACTAATTAACTGAAAATTAGTGGAAATGAATATATATTATTAATATTGAATTGATAAAATTAATTAATATTATTATAGTATTTAAATGAAAACACGTTTTTTAGATGTTAATATCAACAAGTATTGAATGATTAAACGTAATTAACTATTGGTCCCAAGCCAATCACAGAAAACAGATGACTTAAACACAATAATTGGTTCTAACCAATTTACCAAAATCAGAAACTATAAGATGATTACTTGAAATAGTCATAATGAAAAAAAAAAAACTATATTTATTCGAATTAAACTAAAATGAGGCCAATTAGCCCAGCAAGTTGAATTTAATATTTAGCTAAATCGACCCATATTCAGAGACGTTTTTTTATGCAACAATTTTTTAGGGAAATCTTAAATATTATAACTGAAGGCGCTGGACTTGTCTTCATTAATAGTAGGCTGACTTGTTCGCCTCGAATGAATAAGTAAGAATAAAAAATGTGTTATGTGATAATAAATTACCGGGTTGACACAACAGTATTAAATAACAAATAGTATAAAATGTGATAATAGAAAAACAAATATGTAAATGAACAAATTAATAAATGGCTAGATAAATAAACATATAATACAAATTTAATTATAATAATTATAATTTTATGCCTACGGCTACTAGGATAGGAAAAATAATAATTTAGATGAATACGACAATTTGCCTATGATGGTTATGGCCGTCGGCTTTTCCATAACAATGAACAAATATGGTCAACCAATATTCACATGTAGCTTGATGGCGAATTCATCCGGAGGCAACTACTGGGGAACGTAATTATAACAAAAACTTTAACAATACAAATTACAGCCCCACGTGCATGTAACCATCAAGTAATAGTTACCGATGAAAATGCACAGGTCTACAGCCCTGGGAAATTATACAACGAATGAACACCACGTTACTCATAATAGCTGTTTGCAAGTGATCACCCAAGAAAAAAAAAAAAAAAAAAAAATTCAAAGCAATACAATTATGCGGATTGACACTTACCAAATAGCCGACAAAATAAGATAAAATACAGAAAACATGGTTTAACGAAATGGCTGTATACAAACAAAAACGAAAATGTGCATACGAAGAAGGACAGGACAAGAAGAGCGAGATTGTTCCGTCGACATTCACCAGAAAACTATGGCCGTCGGACACCAAAATAAAGATAAAATGCGTCAGTGGCATTACACTAAAACTAATACAATTGACTTTATGAAAATTTTGGAATACTGAGAATATGACTTGAAACAATACGAATAACATAACTGGAAAATTGTAAAACGTAAAATAACAACACATTTTCATGTGACTGATAACGATGCAATCACAGACCAGTCAACCAGACGCGGAGGCATATCGTCACCGCCGATCGTTGCTGCAGCAGCATGATACACCGTTATATTACACGAAAATGATAACACAAAACGGAACAACGATAAATTACAAATAAAAAGATTGTTCGTGGTACGAACATAACAATCTCAATTTTATCGCCTAAATTGTTATTTTCTCACTCAGAGTTGTGCTAAAGATACTGCAGAACGAAACAGATTTTATAGTAATATCCAGAGGCTATAATATCACATTCTTATGTACATTATTATAGGAAATTTAATTATTTACACTCTATTTATTTATTAAACTTCTATGAAAGACTTAGTTGAAAACGTTTAACATAGGGTGCCAAGTTAACCGAGTATAATGCGATGTTATTGAAGTTTTGATACTTGACTAATTTTCGTTTCCAACCAATTATATTGGTATTAAAATCGTAAAACTTTTCGTTGACGATTAAATTGAAAAAGATTTAGTGTATATCTTACGGCTAAATATAGCGAAACCATGTACTTGTTGTAATAATTATTGACGTTTTTCTGAGAAAAAAGAGTCAGACATGTAATAAAACTTAAAATCTTATCCATTATGCTTTACGATTAAATTAAACTGGTTATATTATATAAATTAATTTCACATTTGCTTGTTATACTTTTCAACTTTCATTGAATTTTGTTCGGTGATGTCGTAAAATATTTTTCTAGACTATTTTCCTGCTTAACATATATTAATTTACATACTATTATTAAGTATTGATTGATTATAGGTTTGTATACTTTCGTTCTATGAACAGCAATACGTATTAGTAAACGCGTTATAAAAACAATAAAAAAATAACAATATAAATGTATACATAAATACGAACAAAAAGGTAACAGACTATAATTTGAATAGTTAAACGATTTTCTCGTAGCGTATGACGTTCCAAATTTTTTAATATTTTTTTAATAATTTCATATTTTATTTTAAATGTACAGTCTTTTTATAATATTCTAAAAATATATATACACCATGTAAATGTGTAATACAAAATTGTGATTAATTTTCAATGTCATTGTTTATATCATATATATATATCATTGTTTATATAGGCGTAAGGAAAGTGGCATCCATATCGCCCAGTGCACCTTAATAAGTGTACTGCAGTAGCCCTACCCTGACCTTAATTGGTTAGGGTAGTCTGGTCCTCCAGATTGAGGGTAGAGCGTGGGGCTAACAAGCCCACCTTATAAAAACTTATTTGTTATGATACCATCAGGATAATATCAGCCTCGGCCATAGAGAAACGGTCATAGGACATGGAAATCGGAAAACTGGAATTAAGATATCGACCTGGAATACGTTGAGCCTTTTTAGAACTAGAACTTGCCAGAATTTTACTAATGTACTAGAAACATATGGAATATATATAGCAGCCTTGCAAGAGATAAGATAGTAAGGAAATGGACAGATTAAAGTGGGTAAATATATAATCTATTTCTTTGGAATGGAGGAAAGACACATTTATGGAAGCGGTTGTGCTATGCATGAATTCCTGGAACCATACATAAAATAGTTCAATCCCGTCTCAGAAAGAATAGCAGTATTACGAGTTGACACAAAACCTCTAAATATAGTACTAGTGTGCACACATGCACCAACGGAGACAGAAGATAAGGATATCAAGGATGCGTTTTACGAGGAACTGGCACATACATATGATAATCTGCCAGGGAACGTAATTGAATTAGTACTGGGGGACCTAAATGCCAAGTGTGGAAGAGAGACACAATTTAGCCCAACTATAGGTAGTGAAAGCCTTCATGAGACAAGTAACGGAAATAGACTAAGGCTCATATTCTTTGCAGCGGCAAAGAACATGACAATAAGTAGTACAACGTTTCAACATAAGGACATTCAGAAAGCCATTTGGAAATCACTGGACGGAATAACAGCAAACCAAATAGATCACATACTCATTTAAAAGAGATTTCGTTCATGCATAAAGACATATGAAGCTAAAGAGGATTTAATTGCAATACAGATCACTTCTTAGTAGTGGCAAAGTTCGAGCTAAAGTTACAGAGTCGAAAACAACTAGAAAAAATAAATAGCATAAAGATAAATCTAGAGATGCTAAAGGATGAAGAAATCCAGAAAAAATACTTAAAAAGTATCGGTGAATATATAAAAAAAATTAAATTGAATGATGTAGATAAAGACTGGGAAAAAGTTAGCAAAGCCATTAAACAAATTGCGACTGAAAACATTGGGATGATAAGAAATAAGAAGAAAAAATGGTTTAATAAAAACTGTTGGCAAGCAATAAGAAAAAGACAAACGGCCCGTGAAAACTGCATAAAAGAAGATAGTACAGACACAAAAAAGTATACATCTTAGAGAGAAAGATATGTAAACGAGTATTCCAAAGAGAGAAAAGAAAGTATCTAAGTGAAATAT